CAGACGACTACTACTAGTTCCGTTCCGTGAAAGCGGCTGTATAGTTCGTTCGTTCGATCCGACACTATTGGCCAGGTATCACTTTATCGGTCGATAGCAGCGAGGTTTCATTAAGCAATTAATCGGCTGGTAGCGGCCGATAACCTCGCTCCGTTCGGGAAGCGTCTGTACTAGCAGCATTAGGCCCAATCAGTAACACCGGTCCTATCGGTAGGCTTGCATTCGTCCTGCGGTCGTATAGCGGATCATCTCCGTTCGGGAAGCGTGCGTCCTGCGTTCGTGCCACAAAAAGTGGATACTTGGGCGTAATTCTAACTGTACAATGGTGGGCGCCCAAGATCCCTCTGGGATCTCTTGTTTTTAGCTCACCATAGTGAGCTAATTATGCTGTGGCGTATTGTCCGTCGTCAATTTTTTCTTTAAAACCTATCTCCTCCTAAACGCCAAAGTGGATTTCAACCAAATTTAGTCTGAAGCATAACTTTGGGAGGGCAATTGCTTCTTTAATAAATGAGTTTGGTTTGACCCCTGAGGCCATGGGGACAGGGTCCTGAAGGGGAACTTAGTTAAATTTGCTTTAAAAGGCATCTGCTCCTATAGGCCAGAGAAGATTTCAACCATATTTGCTCTGAAACTTCATTTGGGGAGTGCAATCATTTCCAATAAATAAATTCATTTTAAATAAATGAGACTGGTTCTACACCTGGGGCTAGGAAGACCGGGCCCCAAACAGGAAAATTATCTAATGTTTTGCTTTAAGACGCTATTACCCCTTAATTGCCTGAGTGGATTGTACAAAATTTGGTCAAAAACATTATTGAGGAAGAACAAACATTTCTTAATTGAATGAGGTTGATTTGAGCCCTGCGGTCCTAAGAAATGGTACAGCTAGATTATCACATTCTATGGTGTAGTTTAGATAAATTGTTAAAAATTGGTTTCTAAGGTTTATAATTAAAAGCTTATAGTTGAATGAAAATTGAGGTATTGTCTAATTTCACCCTGTAATATGACACATTACTTATTTCAAAATCTGTTAACATGGCAACTCAGTGGAGGCCCCTGATTAGTTAAAGGTCAGATATTATGGTCCCAATTGGTTTAGAACATAGATCTTGTCTGGTTTTGAGGTTTCATATAAAGATGTACTAATGCATTTAGTTGTAATTACTTAAATATATAACCAGGTGAGCGATACAGGTCCAATGGACCTCTTGTTTGAAGTAGCAGTCTTTTGCAATATTTCTTTCCATTATTCATATAAATTAGGGATGTCAATGGTTTTAAACCGGTTACTTGGTAGGAAGACTGCGAGCCTGTTACCAAAATCAATAACCGAATAGTCGGACATGTATTTACCCCTGTGGGGAATACCATATACACCTACATGAAGCTTGCAACTACCAAATTTCCTATCAATCAGACCGAAATCAGATTTTTGGCTCACCTGGCCCAAAGGGCCAAGTGAGCTTATGGCATGGTGCGGCATCCGGCGTCCATCCGGCGTCAACTTTTTACTTTAAACAACTTCTTCTCAGTAACCAAAAGGCCTAGGGTGATGATATTTGGCCAGAAGCATGCTTGGATGAAGGGCCATCAAGATTGTTCAAATAAATGACCTTGACTTATATTCAAGGTCACAGGGGTCAAATATGTTAAAATCTTTAAAACAACTTCTTCTGAATAACCGAGAGGCCTAGGGTGATGATATTTGGCCAGTAACATGCTGGGATGACGGGCTACCAAGGTTGTTCAAATAAATGACCTTGACTTATATTCAAGGTCACAGGGATCAAATATGTTTAAAACCTTTAAACAACTTTTTCTGAATAACTGAGAGGCCTAGGGTGATGATATTTGCCAGTAATATGCTGGGATGAAGGGATACCAAGTTTATCAAATAAATGACCTTGACTTGTATCCAAGGTCACAGGGGTCAAACATGTTAAAAACATTTAAACAACTTCTTCTGAAAAACCACACAAAGGCACAAAGCCGTTCATTGGAAAGTAACATATGTTACACCGAAATATTTCCACATCAACCATGTCAAACCCTTCAAAACCTTTATTATCATCGTAGGTGACGCTGGAGAATAAAAGTTTACCATCATATTCATCACTTCAATCTACACGTCCGCCATTTATATGACTTTTTTTTCGATTTGAAATTCTCTCGCACACCTTTGGTCATTACTAGGGTACACTGCCGGGAATATCGAAAGTAATGACAAAACAACCAATCAGAAGCCTTCTACTATACACGTTCGGGTTTGGTATAGCAACAACCTGACTTAAGGTCATAGGAGTGTATTGCTAAAAGGAAATAGGAAGTACATCCCTAGTTGAAATCCAATGTAGGGAGACAGTATCACAATTTCCGCATATTCTAATGTTTAATATTAAACTGATGAATATTGTATGCTTATTATTGACAGAACAGTGTGTTCTTTCAAAATTAAAGTATTGCAAAGCAATCCAGTCATTAATTCAGTTGTTTTTTAATCAATGAGTCGCATGTGTCCATTTTTCTGTACTTCAGGAAACCGGCTACCTATTTCACTACTATGAAGTTTTTCAAGAACGATAACTCTTGCATGCAATTACTACGTGTATATGGTTTTATTATAAAATGTCAATTTTTAATAGTTTATAGATAATTAATTTTACACAACTTCAGCATTTATGAAATTGATATACATTAATGCAATACTAATCCATGTTTAGTATCATTTTTATTGACATTATTTTGCAAAAGAATGTGTTTCAATTTTTTGTCAAAATTCACTCCTTTTTACATAAATTTCCATTTAAAATCCTTAACATTCTGACAACCTATATATTTTTTTGTGGCAGAAAATTTTCTTTACTTCAAAGCAATATAACTACAAACTTTGAATAAATGGCGACACAATCCTATTACCTTAATTTAATTCACACTTCCTGGCTACCGATCAAAACTTATACAGACCGAAAAAACGGCATATGCCGTTCTTAGCAGTCCGACGACCCGACATTTCAAAATGGCATATGCCGTGTGTAGCAGCCTAAGGGTTAATAAATATGACATTTTATGTGTCTTCTGGTTATTTGTATAACATGAACTTTTTTTATTTTGAAATATTTACTGGACACTCAACAGGTCAGATAAAATCCAAGATGGCGGACCATGTTGAAATTATGTGAACAGGGGGGTTGCTCGCAATTGAGCCCCCCCCACACACACACACACACACACACACACACACACACACACACTTTTGGCCCATATTTTTTCTCAGGAGGCAGGGGGGCTTATTGCCGGTAAAATACGGTAAGGGATTTTATCCTTATTATAGGATTCCGCCAATACGTATGTATATACACAAACGTACATATATTACGCTCTAGCGACTTCATTTCTCAATGGAATTTCACGAGACTTCATACAAATGTTTGGTATGACAATGCCTTGAACAATATGCATTTCGAGTTACTGCGTTAAAGTTCAAGGTCACTGTTACTATTTTTAGAAAAAACTTTGTCATCACTCTTTCACTTCATTCCTCAACAGAATTTTATGAAACTTCATACAATTGTTTGCCATGTCAACACCTTCAACAGATGCAGTCGCTAGACCAGTTACTTTAACATCATTTAATTTTCTATTCATTTCCTCATGGCACACAATATGTGAATGGGATTTTTATCACTAGTGATACCTTGTCTAGTCTGGGACATCCTTGGTCCAAGGGACAAACATTTTTTCCATTATCCAGTGACTGCAGGTTCATTTTATATATTATTTTAACAAGCTGAATTATAGTAGAATTCTTTTTTTCAAAACCAGAATTTTTCTCTATCAAAATTTCATGTTCTTTCCAAAACTCATATATGGAGGCCGAAGGACAGCCCCGGCTTACTCGTAATTTGCAGATTTCAGATTTCAGATTTTATTTCCAACACTCAGACACATGAAAATGTCTAACATGAGGTACATGTACATGAATTCATATATTTTAAATTATGACAGGAAAGGTTGTCTCCCTCAGATAGACATTGGACTAACCCGATCTGCCGGATTTGATTAAAGTCTGTGTTTTTGTAGGGTTGAACCATATTTGTGAGTTAAAAAACTTATCTCCTTCAGAATATACGACTAACTTAATCAGTCAGATTTAGATGGTGTGCTGGGTTTGTAACATCTGTGTCAAGTTGACACTTATGGCTTACAGGACATAGGGCTTCCCCACCGTAGTTGTAGACAATAATACACATTATATTTGATAATTTCCATGAATGGCTTATAGCTTATGACTGGCAAAAGATGGAGTGTGGTGTTTTCTCAATCAAACAACACAAGATATTTTATCAGCACAGTTCTATTGAAACATGATACGGTGTGAGTTCATGTTTAATTCATTTTAAAAATGCAGTGTTGCTGTAAACTCTTTTATCTTGTGAAGATAATAGGCCTATAACTTTGCTGCCAAAATGTTAGCCACCAATGAGAATGTAATTTATATATGCATCTACTGTTAGAGGATGGTGTTTGCCAACTTCGTTTATTTTGATTAATTTATTAACTATTATGTTAATTACTATATCAATTCATATAGCAACACAAATATCTATCTTGCATCTTTTATTAATTATTGATGAAGAATAAATATTTAAATGTTCATATGTCTGCAAGTTCTGTGTACAAACAGATCCTGAGAAAATCTTGATGGCGAAACATGCAATTCAACGATCTTTCTTAAAAAAATCCTGAAAACATCTATAGCTATGTAATTTGGGCACCCCCAACTTCAAACTAAATCTTAACACAAAAAAACTGCGCAAATTACACAAGTTTTTATGGTAGATAAAAATCTATCATTTGGATCAAACAATGTTTATTCTGTTTGAAACCAATACAATTATATCATACTATACACTTTTTGATGATGTCAAGTCAAAAAGGAAAATTGATTTTATTAAATCTCTTTAACATTTTTTTTCATTTTTCTCTCCTTTCAGTAGATGACTTTAATCAGCCATCAACGAGCCAGAGGAGTACTGAGAGTGTAAGTTTATCTCATACTGTCACTGTAGGAGGGAGATAGTGATAATTATCACCTGGTACAAAGTGCCACAGTGAGCCTATATCATGGCTATTTATCAGTGTATGTTTATCTCATACTGTGACTGTAGGAGGGAGATAGTGATATTTATCACCTGGTACAAAGTGTCACAGTGAGCCTATATCATGGCTATTTATCAGTGTATGTTTATCTCATACTGTGACTGTAGGAGGGAGATAGTGATATTTATCACCTGGTACAAAGTGTCACAGTGAGCCTATATCATGGCTATTTATCAGTGTATGTTTATCTCATACTGTCACTGTAGGAGGGAGATAGTGATATTTATCACCTGGTACAAAGTGTCACAGTGAGCCTATATCATGGCTATTTATCAGTGTATGTTTATCTCATACTGTCACTGTAGGAGGGAGATAGTGATATTTATCACCTGGTACAAAGTGTCACAGTGAGCCTATATCATGGCTATTTATCAGTGTATGTTTATCTCATACTGTCACTGTAGGAGGGAGATAGTGATATTTATCACCTGGTACAAAGTGTCACAGTGAGCCTATATCATGGCTATTTATCAGTGTATGTTTATCTCATACTGTCACTGTAGGAGGGAGATAGTGATATTTATCACCTGGTACAAAGTGTCACAGTGAGCCTATATCATGGCTATTTATCAGTGTATGTTTATCTCATACTGTCACTGTAGGAGGGAGATAGTGATATTTATCACCTGGTACAAAGTGTCACAGTGAGCCTATATCATGGCTATTTATCAGTGTATGTTTATCTCATACTGTCACTGTAGGAGGGAGATAGTGATATTTATCACCTGGTACAAAGTGTCACAGTGAGCCTATATCATGGCTATTTATCAGTGTATGTTTATCTCATACTGTCACTGTAGGAGGGAGATAGTGATATTTATCACCTGGTACAAAGTGTCACAGTGAGCCTATATCATGGCTATTTATCAGTGTATGTTTATCTCATACTGTCACTGTAGGAGGGAGATAGTGATATTTATCACCTGGTACAAAGTGTCACAGTGAGCCTATATCATGGCTATTTATCAGTGTATGTTTATCTCATACTGTCACTGTAGGAGGGAGATAGTGATATTTATCACCTGGTACAAAGTGTCACAGTGAGCCTATATCATGGCTATTTATCAGTGTATGTTTATCTCATACTGTCACTGTAGGAGGGAGATAGTGATATTTATCACCTGGTACAAAGTGTCACAGTGAGCCTATATCATGGCTATTTATCAGTGTATGTTTATCTCATACTGTCACTGTAGGAGGGAGATAGTGATATTTATCACCTGGTACAAAGTGTCACAGTGAGCCTATATCATGGCTATTTATCAGTGTATGTTTATCTCATACTGTCACTGTAGGAGGGAGATAGTGATATTTATCACCTGGTACAAAGTGTCACAGTGAGCCTATATCATGGCTATTTATCAGTGTATGTTTATCTCATACTGTCACTGTAGGAGGGAGATAGTGATATTTATCACCTGGTACAAAGTGTCACAGTGAGCCTATATCATGGCTATTTATCAGTGTAAGTTTATCTCATACTGTCTGTGACTGTAGGAGGGAGATAGTGATATTTATCACCTGTTACAAAGTGCCACAATGAGCCTATATCATGGCTATTTATCAGTGTATGTTTATCTCATACTGTCTCAGTAGGAGGGAGATAGTGATATTTATCACCTGGTACAAAGTGTCACAGTGAGCCTATAAACTCACCGTAACTCACCGTTGTCGACGTCATACCATTAGTCATAGACTACTATTGACGCTTCTACTAATTCTACTGGTACGGACTCCCGGTCTGCACCTCCCGCTCTGTAGCATGCGGGGCTGAATTTTCCTGGGTGGTGTTTCCACGCACGGTTCAGTCTTGATTTGAAACAGTTAAGTGATGGAGCGTTTATTACGGTGGAGTCTAGATTGTTCCACGGTTCGGTCACTCGGTTGGAGAATGCATTTCCTCTTAGTTTGGTCCTAAATCTTTTCTTGAAAAGTTTTTTGTTATGTCCTCTGGTGTTGTGTACATTCTGTCTGTCCGCGAAAGTTGTGAATTTATCCACGTTGGCATCTACAAGTCCATTGCATATTTTAAAAAGGTTTACCATGTCTGCTCTTTCACGTCTGTACTCTAAGGAAGGTATTCCTAAAACTCGCAGATGTCCTCATAGTTTAGATGTTTGAGATGAGGCAACAACCTGGTGGCACGATGTTGGACATTTTCTAGAGTCTTCCGGTCCTTTTTATACATTGGAAACCAGACTGATGTGCAGTACTCCAAGTGAGGTCTTACTAGAGACTTGTATAGATTAGCGAACATTGCCTCGTCCATGTAGGTAAAAGATTTGAATATTAATCCCACCATTCTGTTGGCCTTCTTCGCTTGCGTGTTGACATGACCGGTAAATTTCAAGTTACTATCAAAATCAATCCCCAAGTCCTTTTCATGCTCCACCTTTTTAATTACTGTTGTGTTGGTGTTTCCCGTTAAGGTATAACTTTGGTCAGATATAGATTGCCCAAGCTTGATGTTCGTATATTTGCACTTTTCTAAATTCAGTTTCATTTGCCAAGTCTCAGTCCAGTGGCTTATGTTGTTGAGATCATCCTGCATGGAGTCAATGCACTCGGGCGATGTTATATCACCGAAAATTTTGGCGTCGTCCGCAAATAATTTAGCTGTATTGTTTGTCACATCTGGTAGGTCGTTGACGTATATTAAAAACAATATCGGACCCAGAACGCTACCCTGTGGCACTCCACTCGTGACCAAAATTGATTCAGATGCCTTGCCATTGATCACTACTCGCTGTTCCATGTCCTGGAGGAAATCACATATCCAATTCCCGATACTGCCGTCAATCCCATATCCCTTGACCTTTTCAAGCAGCCTTCTGTGAGGAACTGTGTCAAAAGCCTTACTGAAATCTAAGTACACTACATCGACCTCATTTCCGTTGTCTAGAGATTCCGTCCAACTTTCCATAATTTCAAGCAGCTGAAGGTTACATGAACGTTTGCTCCTAAAACCATATTGATGATCCGAGAACAGTTTGTTACTAGTCATGTGTTCCACCACTCTATTCCTGATAATTCTCTGAAGTGATTTCCCAAATACAGATGATAGACTGATTGGACGATAGTTGCCGCAATCCTTTTTCCTACCTTTTTTATAGATTGGTGTTATATTGGCCTTTTTCCAATCGTGTACTCCTTCCTCCAGTGATTTGTTGAAGATGATGTTTAGTGGTTTTAGTAACTCATGTACAGTCTCTTTAACGAACTTCGGATGTATATTGTCCGGACCAGGTGATTTAGAGCCGTCCATAGCTTGGACCGCAGCCAAGATTTCCTTGTCCATAATTGGCGTATCGGCAAGAGTCTGCTCCAAGTGCCTGTTAGGAAAGGGAGGTAATTCAACATCTGTCTCGCTTGTGTATACACTCGCGAAAAATGTTATCAATGCGTCCGCCTTTTCTTGGTCATTGATTGTGAGGACTCCATTTTCTTTGTACACTTTTGACACTGCTGCTTTGGTCTTCATCTTAGAACGTGTGTACCTCCAGAACTGTTTGGGATTGCTCTTAATGTTCTGCGCTATATCCTTTTCCTTGAGGAATGCAGATTTCCTTACAAGATTTGTAGCTCTGTTCCGCGCCTGCCTATATTTGTCAAAGTTAACCGTGGATTTGCAATGTACATACTTTTTCCACTTACTCCGTTTTGCCTTTAAGGCCTGAACCGCCTCTCGATTTAGAGGATGTTTACTAGTGCGACTAGGTTCCACTTTGTTCACTGGTATATGGTTGTCTATAACTTCTGATATTATTTCAACAAAGTGATTCCAAGCCTCAACGGTAGTCATCCTCTCCATAATTCCCCAGTCAAAACTAGAAAGTTCATCCTTAATTGACTTGTAATCGGCTTTGAAAAAGTTCCGTTTACTTGTAAAACTTGCTTCTGTGCGGGTATATAATGTTAGGTTAAAATTCAATATACAGTGGTCACTTTTACCCAGCCCAGGGTGATAGAGCACATTGTCTACCATATGTTCTTCGTTTGTCAGAATTAAATCCAGTAGCGATGGTTCGTTGTTCTCTCTAAAACGCGTTGGTTGTAGAACATGTTGGAAAATATAGTTGTCCTGTACAGATTCCAAAAACTTACTTGCATGATGATATTCACCCGTGCTTGTCGAAAGGTTGATCCAGTTAATTTCCCTCATATTGAAGTCTCCTGTTATGACCAAGTGTGCATGTTCCTCCTCCTCCACGTCACTTAGAAGTCTGTTTATAAGTTTGTTGTTATCATCGGTTGAGTGGGGCTTCGATAAATACAGCCTAACAGTAAAAGGTCCCTTGATCCTATTGTTATCTTACAGAAAACACTTTCTTTGAGATTCCTCGAGACTGTCACTTCACTCATGTTAATGCTCTCTTTTACATATATAATAATTCCACGGATAGAATTATCTATATCATCCTCTATTATGTTAGACAACATATTGTATCCTTCGATCATATACTGTTGCATGGAAATTTCAAGGAAATGGCGTTTCGGGAGAACTTCCGTTAAAGCTATAATGTCTGGGTCCTCATCACTGATTGTATTTTTAAGTTCTATCCTCTTGGTTTGGGTCAAAGTGTCTACATTTGAGCTTATGACTTTAAGATTTTTAAAATTTGAGTCTTTAAAAACAGGGTTAAAAACAGTTTCCTATGCTCTGTCGACTGTTGGTGACACTGGAGGGTCCATCACTGTATCATCACTGTACAGAGTTCTATCATTTTCACTTTCACTCATGGTCACCTCAGAGAGATCTCCCAGTTGGTTTAAGTGTGTGCTGCTAAATATAGCGCTCCTGTTCACGAAATTGTCATGTACATGTTTGGGTATCGGACTAGGTGCCTTAACTCCTGTCACATCCATAACCTTCACTCCTGTCTCCTCTGAATCCAATGCTTTCTTTTTTTCCTCTAAATTCTTTGCCCTTCTATCACTGAATTCTTTCCTCTGCTGTGCTGTTAGGTCCCTTAACAGAATGACGTTTTTCAATTTCACACTTGCCTTTGTTTTAATGCTCGTGCCTCTTCCAAAAGGAATTTCCTTTGACTCTTACTGCCTAATTTACAGATTAGCGGACGATTCATGTCGCTGGTATGTTGTCCTATTCTAAACTGTAACAGTATTTCTAAGTCTGAGACCCCTAGATGTGCACATAGTTCTCGAAGTAGATGATTATCGTTTGCTTTGTCATCACTCCTATCATCACTGTGAAGCTCGGGTAAGTTAAACAAAATAATGTTGTTCTCCTTGTCTTGTCTATGTCGAAGTTCCTTCGTTCTAGAGTCAACCATCACATTTAATTCCTGCTTTAACTCGCTGACTATACTCTGGCGCATAGAAGTAATCTCATCCTTTATTTGCCCTGTATTTTCCTCTTTGAGTGTGTCCATTTTGTTGTCAAGTCGATCTAAACGTGACTGAGTTTGGATTTATAACTTGTTCAATGTCTGACTAATTGTTACTAACGTCGACCTTGTGGCCTCACAACTTAAACAAGTTCAGTGAAAACCCCTCCACTCACCTTTGGTCACCGACAAGAAAACAGGTTGGGGAAGCTCACAACATGTCTGGCAGAACGACAGTTGACACTCGGAACAGGCCAATGCTCTTCCGCTAGCGAATTCCATTGAGCATCTCACACATGTAGACTTATGATCCGACATATTTGTTTTCTGTTTCTTGCTGACCTGTCCCTCCGAGTGTTTGTTTACATCCAGAACACTTGATTTAAACCCCACAAACGACATCCGATTATAATAGAGCTATCCGTAGTTTCGTATTTTTTATTGTTATTATTTATCACAGCATGAGATATACGACGAAGCTCGTTAAATACGTTGCTATACTGATTCATAAACCATTCCCAAAATAATGACTTGGCACAATATACACATCTCTTCACACGCTGATTTCATGTCGCACGAGTAGCATGGGTCAACCCCACAATAGAAAATGGCGGCATTTTCAAACACACCTCAAGACGTGGCTAAACGATATCTGACGAGCCTTCCAGTGTTAATATGTTAATACGTTGCAGTCTTCCGATTCAAATGTCGATCCCAAAACTAAGTACACTATCAAGAAGACAATCTCTCCACATGCTGTTTATACTGACAAGGGCAAATTTCACAACAGAAAAAATGGCGGCTTTTACGAACTCACCATAACTACGGGGACATTGGAGTTCTCAGAACTAAATGATTTCTGACAGAAGCTTACAGTGTTTTTACGTTCTTTATATATCCGTGGAAATGCCTTGTATTTCGATCATGCTGGCATAATGCCGGTCACCGAAAATCTTGACGATATCAGGTTGAGTGATGGAGCTTTTTCAGAACCCGCCTGTAGGAGTTGTAAAGTGATTTCTTAATCGAAATTCGTGATTCCGGTCTTTCCAATGATGTTTTTTGTTTAAGACTGTAGACCTTTAGAAGAGTATTCGGTCATGTTGAATGTGATATGACGATCAGAACGCTGACGATACATTGAGGTTTCGTCCACCATTTTCCTCAGATTTGTTTGATGAGATTTGCAGTCAATATATTTCAAGAGTCATTGGTCATTTAGAAAAAATTTCCGCACAGAAGCAATCTCTAGAGCACTTGTTACCTCTCCGTTGAAGAAAATTATCTTGTGAATCCATTAAACTAGTTGATGGCTGTAGATTCCACAACGACTAAATGAACGAGGTTAACAGTGTATGCTTATCTGATACTGTCTGTGACTGTAGGAGGGAGATAGTGATATTTATCACCTGGTACAAAGTACCACACTGAGCCTATATCATGGCTATTTATCAGTGTAAATTTATCTCATACTGTCTGTGACTGTAGAAGGGAGATAATGATATTTATCACCTGGTACAAAGTGCCACACTGAGCCTATATCATGGCTATTTATCAGTGTAAGTTTATCTCATACTGTCTGTGACTGTAGGAGGGAGATAGTGATATTTATCACCTGGTACAAAGTACCACACTGAGCCTATATCATGGCTATTTATCATCTGTCTGTTGTCATCGTATGTTGTTGACACCATTTGCATTAAGTGACATCTCCTCCCAAACTGCTGAGCAGTCAAGGTCACTTTTATTATTTTTAGAAAAACATTCTCATCGCTATATCGACTTCTTTCCTGAACGGAATGAAAATCTATTATCCATTGAAGAATGTAGTCGATAGGGCAGATGCTGATCATACATCAATGAATTTTCTATTAATCACCTCATACATATGTCACACAATGCGAGGGGATTTGCATCACCTTTACTCTTTTTTTTCATTTTTCTTTTGCAGCAGAAAATATTACGCCTCGATACCAATTTGGTAATGGACTTAAGTGATAAATTTTCACTTAAATCAACACACTGGCTTTCCATTTGTTTTCAAGTAAAATCAATGGGATATCTTTCAAACAAAGATATGGATGATGTAAACAATATGCTGGACCTGTGTGATGCCTTGAAGAGGAAAAGAGTCATCAATCGTGGGGAGTACAGTAAACTACGTGAAGTTCTTGTTACATGTGATGTGGAGGCAGGAAAGATAATTGATGATTACTCGGAGAAAATACGTCAGGAAAGGGAAGGTAATTTTTACTGTTTGTTATATTCAATGATACAATCGTAAATTTCCCGAATGGTAACAATTATTGTTTGTTATATTTATTGACATATTAAGGATCCCCGTAGCACTGCCAAAAAATAACTAAATATTGGAAGTTGTTTTGTCAACATAACTATAGCTTTGAGAAATAATAGCTATGAAATAAACAAACCATTAATCAACAACAGTGTTTTGAGTGTAAAAGATCTGTGGGTCTCGGTGAGGATTCACACCCTTGACTTCAGATTGTTTAATTATCTCTATGTGACTGAGCTACCTGGCCAACGTAAAGTGCCGGCGGTTGATCCGGGTTATGTTGACGGAATGTGGGAGATTTGTATGACTCCGCCCGCACGGGTCATAAGATGGTCCCGGGTGATAGGTTAATTTTGCTGGTGTGACCAGCAAGATGCAGGGTAGGTAATGCATGTGTAGGTGGTGCATGTGTAGGTGATATTTGTACATGTGTAGGTGTTGCATGTGTAGATGATACATGTGTAAGTGATACATGTGTAGGTGTTGCATGTGTAGGTGTTGCATGTTTAGATGATACATGTGTAAGATTTACATGTGTAAGTTTTTCATGTGTAGTTGCTACATGTGTAAGTCTGATGGTACATGTGTAGGTGATACATGTGTAGGTGATATATGTGTAGGGGATACATGTGTGGGCGATACATGTGTAGGCGATACATGTGTAGGTGTTACATGTGTAGGTGTTACATGTGTAAGTGATACATGTGTAAGTGATACATTTGTCAGTTTTACATGTGAAAGTGCTACATGTGTAGGTCAGGTGAGACATGTGTAGGTGTTACATGTGTGGGTGATCCATGTGTAGGTGTTACATGTGTAAGTGTTACATGTGTAGGTGATACATGTGTAGATGATGCATGTGTAGGTGTTACATGTGTAAATGTTACATGTATAGGTGCTGCATGTGAGGTGCTGCATGTGTAAGTGATACATGTGCAGTTGATACATGTGTAGGTGATACATGTGTAGATGATATATGTGTAGGGGATACATGTGTGGGCGATACATGTGTAGGCAATACATGTGTAGGTGTTACATGTATAGGTGATACATGTGTAGGTTATACACATGTAGGTGATACATGTGTAGGTGAAACATGTGGGGTAAGTGATACATGTGTAGGTGATATATGTGCAGGTGCTGCATGTGTAGGTGTTGCATGTGTAGGTGCTGCATGTGTAAGTGATACATGTGTAGTTGATACATGTGTAGGTGATACATGTGGTGTAGGTGATGCATGTGTAGATGATACATGTGTAGGTGTTAGATGTGTAAGTGATACATGTGTAGCTGATACATGTGTAGGTGCTGCATGTGTAGGTGTTACATGTGTTAGTGATACATGTGTAAGTGATACCTGTGTAGGTGCTGCATGTGTAAGTGATACATGTGTAGCTGATACATGTGTAGGTGCCGCATGTGTAGGTGATACATGTGTAGGTTATACACATGTAGGTGATACATGTGTAGGTGAAACATGTGGTGTAAGTGATACATGAGTAGGTGATACATGTGTAGGTGAAACATGTGGTGTAAGTGATACATGTGTAGGTGATACATGGGTAGGTGTTACATGTGTAGGTGTTGCATGTGTAGGGGCTGCATGTGTAGGTGTTACATATGTAAGTGATACATGGGTAAGTGATACATGTGTAGTTGGTACATGTGTAGGTGATACATGTGTAGGTGCTGCTTGTGTAGGTGATACATGTGTAGGTGATGCATGTGTAGGTGTTACATGTGTTAGTGATACATGTGTAAGTGATGAATGTGTAGGTGCTGCATGTGTAGGTGTTACATGTGTAAATGTTACATGTATAGGTGCTGCATGTGAGGTGCTGCATGTGTAAGTGATACATGTGCAGTTGATACATGTGTAGGTGATACATGTGGTGTAGGTGATGCATGTGTAGATGATACATGTGTAGGTGTTAGATGTGTAAGTGATACATGTGTAGCTGATACATGTGTAGGTGCCGCATGTGTAGGTGATACATGTGTAGGTGTTACATGTGTAGGTGTAACAGGTGTAGGTGTTACATGTGTAGGTGTTATAGGTGTAGATGATGCACGTGTAAGTGATACATGTGTAGGTGATACATGTGCAGGTGCTGCATGTGTAGGTGTTGCATGTGTAGGTGCTGCATGTATCACTTACACCTGCATCATCTACACATGCATCACCTACACATGCAGCCCCTACACATGTATCAGCTACACATGTATCACCACCTACACATGCATCATCTACACATGTATCACCACCTACACATGTATCCCCTACACATGTATCACCACCTACACATGCATCATCTACACATGCATCACCTACACATGTATCCCCTACACATGTATCAACTACACATGTATCACCTACATATGTATCACTTACACGTGCATCATCTACACCTATAATACCTACACATGTAACACCTACACCTGTTACATGTGTAGGTGGTGCATGTGTAGGTGATCAGGGATTTTCCTAGGCCATAATTTGATATACCTATTTTGTGTTTGAGTGGATTAGTTTGTGCGCCATAAGGGCCTGGCGGCCGAAGGCCCGAGCCAGGGGGAGACCACGAGAGGGGGTCAGGTACCCCTCCTCTCTTTTAAGGGGGCTGTCCTGAAAAAAATTGTAATTCTAAATGACTGGAGATGGTTATTTAGGACTTTTGAGAACAAAAATGAGGACAATTGTTCATTATTGAAACATCAATATCTTGCAAATTGTTTTCCATTCAATAAGTCAATATTTGGCAATACACACAATGTCACCTATTGTTTTTTAGCTCACCTGGTCCAAAGGACCAAGGTGAGCATTATGCCATACCGTCGTCCGTCCATCCGTCGTCCGTCTTCCGTCCTTCAACAATTTCTTAAAACGACTTCTTCTTCTTATCCACTGATTGGAACTTAACTAAATTAGACTGGAAGCATCCCTAGGTAGTGGGGATTCAAAATTGTACAAATGGTTGGGCCGACCCCCCAGGGGGCTGAGGGAGGGGGCCAAAAAGGGTTATTGGGCTATATTGCTTTAAGCGACTTCTTCTCTGGAACGAAGTTATGGATATCAACCATATTAGACTGGAAGCATCCCTAGGTTGTGGTGATTCAAAATTGTACAAATGGTTGGGCAGACCCCCCAGGGGGCTGAGGGGCGGGGCAAAAAGGGGGCAATTTGGCTAAACTGCTTTAAGCGACTTCTTCTCTGGAACGAAGTGATGGATATCAACCATATTAGACTGGAAGCAACCCTAGGTTGTGGAGATTCAAAATTGTACAAAGGATTGGGCTGACCCCCCAGGGGGCTGAGGGATGGGGCCAAAAAGGGTTATTGGGCTATATTGCTTTAAGCGACTTCTCTGGAACTAAGTGATGGATATCAACCATATTAGACTGGAAGCATCCCTAGGTGTTGGGGATTCAAAATTGTACAAATGGTGGGGCTGACCCCCCAGGGGGCTGAGGGGTGGGGCCAAAAAGGGTTATTTGGCTATATTGCTTTAAGCGACTTCTTCTCTGGAACGAAGTTATGGATATCAACCATATTAGACTGGAAGCATCCCTAGGTGTTGGGGATTCAAAATTGTACAAATGGTGGGGCTGACCCCCCAGGGGGCTGAGGGGTGGGGCCAAAAAGGGTTATTTGGCTATATTGCTTTAAGCGACTTCTTCTCTGGAACGAAGTTATGGATATCAACCATATTAGACTGGAAGCAACCCTAGGTTGTGGAGATTCAAAATTGTACAAATGGTTGGGCTGACCCCCCAGGGGGCTGAGGGGTGGGGCCAAAAAGGGTTATTTGGCTATATTGCTTTAAGCGACTTCTTCTCTGGAACGAAGTTATGGATATCAACCATATTAGACTGGAAGCATCCCTAGGTGTTGGGGATTCAAAATTGTACAAATGGTGGGGCTGACCCCCCAGGGGGCTGAGGGGTGGGGCCAAAAAGGGTTATTTGGCTATATTGCTTTAAGCGACTTCTTCTCTGGAACGAAGTTATGAATATCAACCATATTAGACTGGAAGCATCCCTAGGTTGTGGAGATTCAAAATTGTACAAATGGTTGGGCTGACCCCCCAGGGGGCTGAGGGAGGGGGCCAAAAAGGGTTATTGGGCTATATTGCTTTAAGCGACTTCTCGGGAACTAAGTGATGGATATCAACCATATTAGACTGGAAGCATCCCTAGGTTGTGGTGATTCAAAATTGTACAAATGGTTGGGCTGACCCCCCAGGGGGCTGAGGGGTGGGGCCAAAAAGGGTTATTTGGCTATATTGCTTTAAGCGACTTCTTCTCTGGAACGAAGTTATGGATATCAACCATATTAGACTGGAAGCATCCCTAGGTTGTGGAGATTCAAAATTGTACAAAGGATTGGGCTGACCCCCCAGGGGGCTGAGGGGTGGGGCCAAAAAGGGTTATTTGGCTATATTGCTTTAAGCGACTTCTTCTCTGGAACGAAGTTATGAATATCAACCATATTAGACTGGAAGCATCCCTAGGTTGTGGAGATTCAAAATTGTACAAATGGTTGGGCTGACCCCCCACGGGGCTGAGGGATGGGGCCAAAAAGGGTTATTGGGCTATATTGCTTTAAGCGACTTCTCTGGAACTAAGTGATGATACATGTGTGGGTGATACATGTGTAGGTGTTACATGTGTAGGTGATTCATGTGTAGGTGTTTGTGACACATATTCGGGGGTTTCTATATATACAGTATAACCTATCTTTTGTAACCCCTCTGAATCTCGCTTCAATTTTTTGACAACTTCTAAATACCCAGAAGGCCCAGGGTGATATTTGGCTGGTAACATGCTGCAATGAAGTGCTTCTATTAAGTTTGTTCACACAAATGACCTTTACTTATATCCAAGGTCACAGGGGTCAAATATGTTTTAAAACTTTTAGCAACTTCTTCCAAATAATCAGGAGGTCCAGGATAATAATATTCGGCCAGTAACATGCAGGTGTGATTAGTGCTACAAAATTGTTCAAATGAGTCGCATTAACTGATAATCAAAGTCACTTGTGTCAAATATGTTTAAAACCTATAAACAACTTCTTCTGAATAACCAAAAATCCTGTGATGTTGATATATAGCCAGTGATATGCTTGGATAAAGGGCTACCAAATTCGTTCAAATGAATGATCTTAACCTAGATTCAAGAACACATGATCAAATATGTTGAAAAACCTATAATCAACTTCTTCTAAATAATAAAAATGCCTTGGGTGATGATATTTGGCCAGTAACATGCTGGTATTAAAGGCTACCAAGTTTGTTCAAATGAATGACTTTGACCTATATTCAAGGTCACAGGGTCAATGTTTATATCCTATAAACAACTTTTTACAAATAACTAAAATGCCAAGGGTGACGATACTTGGCCAGTGACATGCTGCGAAGAAGGGCTACCAAATTTGTTCAAATGTCAAATATATTGAAATCTTTACACAACTTTTTCTGAATAACCAAAAGGTCTGGGGTAATGATATCTGGCCAAAATCTGCTGGGATGAAAGGCTATAAAATGTGTTCCAATTGAAATAAGCATTTGAAATTAATCATATCAGAACAATCAGTATACATACACAGACCAATGAGCTGTTAATCATTTAATAAAGAACAAGGTAAAGTATTGCAAGGCAATCCAGAGTCCCCCACCGGTAACAATTTCTAAAAGATATGCCCCGGACAAACTTTTTCAAACGGTAATGTCAAAGGTCAAAGCAAAGGTCACAGTGAGGTCATAGTGCCCTTCTTCTTGCACTCTGCACAGCGCTTTCCCAAGATGTCCTTGAACACCAAATATGGTTATCCAGGTGAAATAGTATACTGTAACTTTTCCAAAATTAAAGGTCAAAGGTCATGCATCACAGTGACCTAATTCTTGCACTCTGCACTCCCCCAATCAAAGATGTCATATTGTTCACCAAATCAGGTTTCTCCAGGTGAAAAAGTATAGAAGATATGCCCTGGACAAACTTTTTCAAAAGTTAAGGTCAAAGAAGTGCAAACCTATAGTCGCCCTTCCCAGGGAACTGATAGGGGACTGATTATAAAGAATGTTACCAAGTGAATCTTCAACAAAGTCTATGTTGATTATATGCCATTGTTGTTCTTTTATTTACAGGACCACCACAAGCCAAACGACAAAGAGAGCAACACTCCACAGGTTTGTTGTGTTAAGTACTTTCCATGCCCCTACCATTTTGAGGGGAACTTAATGTTTGTCCCGTTCCTTTTGTATTTCCACAAGGCCATAGAGATATTCATGTGTAAGTGTTACATGTGTAGGTGATACATGTGTAGGTGATTTATGTGTGGTTGATACATGTGTAGGTGTTACATGTGTAGGTGATTCATGTGTAGGTGTTTGTGACACATATTCGGGGGTTTCTATATATACAGTATAACCTGTCCAATCCGGCCCCTGTTTAATCTGGATCCCTGTCTAAACTGGCTGTGATTTGTGGTCCTGGCATATTCCCTATATAATCATTTCAGTTAAACCCTTGTATAAACCGGACCCTGTCAATTCCGAAAACCGGCGTTGTTTCACAAAAGTTGGCATAGTAATCCATGTAAAAAAAACAGTTCATTCCAGTCCTGAACTTCTCTCGGCCGGCTACAATCTAAAGCGAACACGTTCTAAACAAATCAGCGCTATCCAATGTTGGGTTGCCCTTCATTTGTATTATATACTGTATATTTTGTAAATAATTAAACATTGCAATTGATTCATTTCTCTGTTTATGTTGACACACTTGTTTACAGATCGTATGCAAAACACTACATTATTGTATTTAAAAAAATGACATGCCGACCCTGTATAAACCGGACACCTGTGTAAACCGGACAAATAGTTTGGTCTCGGTGATATCCGGTTTAGACAAGTTTAATATACTGTATACAGTAAAACAAGTTAAACACGAATATGCTTATTATGACTTTCTGGTAATTGCAAACTGACTCTGGTTTCCAAGCTTATTTCCCTCTTAATTCTATGTAATATGATCATAGTGTGAATTTTCTATAGCGAATTATTGTCTATTACGAAGCAAATCAGTGGTCCCCTCAGTTGAAATTCAGTGTTATTTTAACACTAAAGTACAAACCCAATTTCTGTTATCGGAAGTCACGCGCCAGACTGCAGTGATCTCGACCATGGTCACCAAAAGGTGCCCGAGGGGCAACTGTCAGCTACTTGCTTTTATACACTTTGTATTACTAAAGAACACAGAGTTGTGTTTTTGGTTACAATATAGGTATTTGGTTGTCAACCAACATTAATTGATATACTTTGTACATCATAAGTTAGACTACGGATTACAGTGAATGATGTTTTCGATGACAATCTAAGTTTTGAGTTGAGACTGACGCTGCTGAGGTCATGGTCAATATAGTGGATTTTTAGCTCGCTTGGCCAAAACAGCCAAATGAGCTTATGTCGTGGTCTGATTCAGGTGCCAACTTTTTACTTTAAACAACTTCTTCTCGCAAACCAAGAGGCTTAGGGTGATGATATTCGGTCAGTAGCATGCTAGGATGGAGGGCTACCAAGTTTGTTCAAATGCATGACCTTTGCCCATATTCAAGGTCACAGTGGTCAAATATGTTTAAAACCTTTAAACAACTTCTTCTGAATAACCAGAAGGCCCAGGGTGATGATATTTGGCTGGTAACATGCTGCGATGAAGTGCTTCTTAGTTTGTTCACATGAATGACCTTTACTTATATTCAAGGTCACAGGGGTAAAATATGTTTTAAAACTTTTAGCAACTTCTTCTGAATAACCAGAAGGTCCAGGGTGATAATATTTAGCCAGTAACATGCAGGGATGAGTCACATTAACTTATTAACTTATAATCGAAGTCACTAGGGTCAAATATGTTTAAAACCTATAAACAACTTCTTCTGAATAACCAAGCACCCTATGATGTTGATATTTGGCCAGTGATATACTGGGATGAAAGGCTACCAAGTTCGTTCAAATAAATGACCTTGACCTATATTCAAGAACACATGGGTCAAATATGTTGAAAACCTATAATCAACTTCTTCTGAATAACAAAAATGCCCAGGCAGATGATATTTGGCCAGTAACATGATGGTATTGAAGGCTACCAAATTTGTTCAAATAAATGACTTTGACCTATATTCAAGGTCAAAGGGTCAATGTTTATATCCTATAAACAACTTTTTACGAATAACTAAAATGCCAAGGGTGACGATACTTGGCCAGTGACATGCTGCGAAGAAAGGCTACCAAATTTGTTCAAATGTCAAATATGTTGACATCTTTACACAACTTTTTCTGAATAACCAAAAGGTCTGGGGTAATGATATTTGGCCAAAATCATGCTGGGATGAAAGGCTATAAAATGTGTTCAACTTAATGTCCTTGTTTGACTTTCAAAGTCACAAGGGTCATATGTTTAAATGTTTTAATAGGTTCTTTTGAATCAAACACTATTTTAGTCCACTTTAAAGATTACAAAAGTGACATTGTTTTCTCGAGGACGTGGTCGGTACAGGTGTAACCTTTCCCAGTCACAAATTCCAGCAAAAAGTGATAACAGACTTTTTCAAACGAGCACCAAGCTGAGCGGATTGTGTACATAGAGAAATATGTCGAGATAAATCCAAACATTCCCGATGATTTGTGTTAACGTTTTATGTATAATTTAGTATCGAAAAGTTTTTAAAAAGAACATAAAAGTTTTGCTATTCACCTGATAGGAACTACCTTTATAAGGAACTTAATAGGTCCTATGGGATTGGTTATAACTGTGTTTTACTGTATGTGGTACATGTGTAGCTGTTTTATAGATGATATACAGAGGAGTACGGATCTAACAGAGTCCCATTATCGTTGCATGTGACATCAGGGTCCAGGGTTCTATACATGCTGAACTTGTCTTGTTCAAAAAAAAATCTTTGACTTGTACGGGTGGTCAAGTTTTGTAACTTATCTTAATTTCTTTTTTGACTTCCAGGTCAATCAGAAGCCAAACGATGGAGAATTGGAGGTAATAAGCGTCGGCCACAGCGTATTAGAGGTAAGCTGTGTGAACAGTGTTTTTTGTCTAATTTTTAGCTCACCTGCCCAAAGGGATAGTGAGTTTATGCCATGGTGCTGTGTCTGTCCGACCATCTGTAGTCCATCAACTTTTCCTTTTAACAATTTATTTTAAGGAATGAACAGGCCTAGAGTCATGCTATTTGGCTAAAAGTTTTGTTGGTAAGAGCCGGACAAAGTTTGAGAATGAAATTGACCTTGACTTACTTTCAAGGTAACAGGGGACAAATATGTCAAACACTTGAAATGACTTCTTCTGAAGAACTGAAAGGTATAGAACCTTAATATGTGGCTGGTAGCTTATAAGGATAGAGCCCTACCAAGTTTGCAAATGAAAATGACCTTGACATATTTCAATGTCAAGGGTTTCATATGTCATAAACTTCAAACAACTTCTTCAACAAAGAACCAAAAGGCATAGAATCATTATTTTTGGCTTGAAGCTCCCACAGGTGGAGTCTACAAGGTTTGTCAATAAAAATAACTTTGACTTACTTTTAAGGTGACAAAGGTGAAATATGGGTGAGGGCGAGTGCTGATATGGACGAGATGTCTCGTTATCCCGAGGACGTGGTCGCTACAGGTGTAACCTTTACGTCGTCACAAATTCCAGCAAAAAGTGATAACAGACTTTTTCAAACAAGCACCAAGCTGTGCGGATTGTGTACATATAGAAATATGTCGAGATAAATTCAAATAATCCCGATGATTTGTGTTAACGTTTTATATTTAATTTCCTTTCGCAAAGTTTTTAAAAAGAACATAAAAATTTAGCTTTTCACCTGATAGGAACTACCTTTATAAGGAACTTAATAGGTCCTATGGGATTGGTTATAACCGTGTTTTACTGTTTATGGATTCATAAATAATTGAAGAGCTTCAGCAACGGCCTATTAGAGATTAGCAGTGTGAACACATATATGTACAGGTGATCCCTGTGTTTGTTTGTTAGTTTGTCATACAAAGTCAGGGTGTGTAGTACATACCTTGTGGGTCTGTGTATTCTTACGTACGTCCAGCTAACTTTCCATTAGATATCTCGGTCAGTGTCGTACGTGAACATCATATTTATAGACCGTTTCATGTATTGACAGTCATGGTATGTACGTACATTATGAGAAGGTGTTGAACAAAATATTTTGAAATGAAAAAATAGGGTATATTGTCTGAAACATAGTCCTTGGGCCATAACTTAAAAACGGTTGAGATCCCCACCCCAAAACTATATATACAAATGCTGGACATAAAGAGACGAATGCAGTCACGATACTAGAATATACCCTGGGGTCTGACCGAACCCCTAGGGACCTAGTTTCTTAGTCACAGCTTGGAAACAGTTGAGATCCCTGACCTATAACCATATAGACAAATGAAGAGTATAAAGAGATGAATGCACATATGCTTCCAGGATGGCCTTGCCCCACCCTTGGAGACTTAACCCCTGGGTCATAACTTCGAAATGGTTAAGATCCCCACCCCAAAACTATATATACAATTGTTGGGCATAAAGAGACAAATGCAGTCATGATATTAGAATTGACCCCAGGGTTTGCCCCACCCTTGCAGACTTAACCCCTGGGTCATAACTTTGAAACGGTTGAGATCCCCACCCCAAAAATATATATACAAATGCTGGGCAAAAAGAGACAAATGCAGTCATGATATTAGAATTGATCCTGGGGTCTGGCCACAACCATAGGGACTTAGTTTCTGAGTCACAGATTGGAAACAGTTGAGATCCCCACCCCATAACCATACATAAAATTGCTGGGCATGAAAATTGAATACAGATATATATGCTACAAGGATTGGCCTTGGGGTCTGGCATATTCCCATGGATCTCATTTGGAGAATATTCTGCCATGATTGCTTAGATATCCAGGTGAGCGATACAGGCCCTATGGGCCTCTTGTTTGATATTAAAGGAATTTAAAGGTTATACAACACTCAGCAATACCACAGCAATAAGAATGTTATCACAAACAAAAATTGATAGTGTGGACGTAAAGATAAAACCTGGAGACTATAAATAGACACAAACAAAATTGTTAACACAAAAAATCAGATATGACCTTTAAACAGCACATATTTATCTTGCTGTTGGTCTCTTTCGATTCCTTACTGACCACTGACCCGGACTGGACGCTTAAACTTGGGTGCAAGTGGTGTTGCTGAAGTATTTGTAACATTTGTGCCCACGATTGCCACAGACGCTGCTACGCTAGTCTTTGTAAAGATTGGACTATATCTTTTGTAACCCCTCTGAATCTCGCTTCAATCTTTTGACAACTTCTAAATACCCAGAAGGCCCAGGATGATATTTGGCTGGTAACATGCTGCAATGAAGTGCTTCTATTAAGTTTGTTCACACAAATGACCTTTACTTATATCCAAGGTCACAGGGGTCAAATATGTTTTAAAACTTTTAGCAACTTCTTCCAAATAATCAGGAGGTCCAGGATAATAATATTTGGCCAGTAACATGCAGGTGTGATTAGTGCTACAAAATTGTTCAAATGAGTCACATTACCTTATAATCGAAGTCACTTGTGTCAAATATGTTTGAAACCTATAAACAACTTCTTCTGAATAACGAAAAATTCTATGATGTTGATATTTGGTCCGTGATATACTGGGATGAAGGGCTACCAAGTTCGTTCAAATGAATGACCTTGACCTATATTCAAGAACACATGGGTCAAATATGTTGAAAACCTATAATCAACTTCTTCTGAATAACAAAAATGCCCAGGCAGATGATATTTGGCCAGTAACATGACGGTATTGAAGGCTACCAAGTTTGTTCAAATGAATGACTTTGACCTTTATTCAAGGTCACAGGGTCAATGTTTATATCCTATAAACAACTTCTTACGAATAACTAAAATTCCAAGGGTGATGATACTTGGCCAGTGACATGCTGCGAAGAAGGGCTACCAAATTTGTTCAAATGTCAAATATGTTGAAAAAACTTTTTCTGAATAGACAAAAGGTCCGGGGTAATGATATTTGGCCAAAATCATGCTGGGATGAAAGGCTATAAAATGTGTTCAACTTAATGTCCTTGTTCGACTTTCTAAGTCACAAGGGTCATATGTTTGAATGTTTTAATAGGTTCTTTTGAATCAAACACTATTTTAGTCCACTTCAAAGATTACAAGTGTGACATTAATACCAGGTGAGCGATGCAGGCCAATCAGGTATCTTGTTCTAATAGTGAGGAGGAGGAGGTGGAGGTTGAGGGAGAGGAGGTAGAATAAGTCATCAGTGGAGGTGGAGGTTGAGGGAGAGGAGGTAGAATAAGTCATCAGTGCTGCTAGCACGAGTTTTCACTAGATGCCTTGTTTTCTCGAGGACGTGGTCGGTACAGGTGTAACCTTTGCGTCGTCACAAATTCCAGCAAAAAGTGATAACAGACTTTTTCAAACGAGCACCAAGCTGAGCGGATTGTGTACATATTGAAATATGTCGAGATAAATCCAAACATTCCCGATGATTTGTGTTTACGTTGTTTTATATAAAATTTCCTATCGCAAAGTTTTGACAAAGATTTCACCTGATAGGAACAACCTTTATAAGGAACTTATTAGGTCCCATGGGATTGCTTATAACCGTGTTTTACTGTATGTGGTACATGTGTAACTCATTTAAAGATGATATACAGAGGAGTACGGATCTAAATACAGAGGAGTACGGATCTAACTGAGTCCCATTATCGTTGTATGCGACGTCAGGATCCAGGGTTCTAACATGCTGAACTTGTCTTGTTCGAGAAAATCTCTTGACTTGTACGGGTGGTCAAGTTTTGTAATTTATCAAATTTCTTTTTTGTCTTTCAGGTCAATCAGAAGCCAAACGAAGGAGAATTGAAGATAATAAGCGTCAGCGGCGGCGTATTGGAGGTAAGCTGTGTGAACAGTGTCTGTTTGTCTATTTTTTTTAGCTCACCTGCCCAAAGGGCTAGTGAGCTTATGCCATGCTGCTGCGTCTGTTCGTCCATCTGTAGTCCATCAACTTTTCCTTTAAACAATTTATTTTAAGGAATGTACAGACCTAGAGTCATGATATTTGGCTAAAAGTTTTGTTGGTAGGAGCCAACAAAGTTTGAGAACGAAAATGACCTTGACTTACTTTCAAGGTAACAGGGGTCAAATATGTCAAACACTTGAAATGACTTCTTCTGAAGAACTGAAAGGTATAGAACCTTAATATTTGGCTGGTAGCTTATTAGGATGGAACCCTACCAAGTTTACGAATGAAAATGACCTTGACATACTTTCAATGTCAAGGGTCAAATATGTCATAAACTTCAAACAACTTCTTCTGAAGAACCAAAATGCATAGAATCATTATTTTTGGCTTGAAGCTCCCACAGATGGAGTCGACAAGGTTTGCAAATAAAAATAACTTTGACTTACTTTTAAGGTTACAAAGGTGAAATATGGCAAAAATTGCAAATGACTTTCTCTCAATTACCAAGAGCCACAAGGTGATGTTAAATCGGATTATTTACCTAGAGCTACTGAGTTTGTTCAGCTAAATGAGTTTTAAAATGTTTAAGGTCACTGGATAAAATGTGATAAAATCTCATAACAGGTTGTTTGAAATATTGGTTAGGGTATTTATCCTACAACTTTATTTAGACTAATTTAGTGAATTTGACCTGGCTTAGCTTTAAAGTGTAAGAAAAACAGCAGGTGAGCGATGCAGGACCACTGGGTCTCTTGGTCTGGCAATGAAGAGGATGACAATGAGGAGGTAGATAGATTCAATTATCAGTGTTGGTAGGGCGAGTGCTGATATGGACGAGCTGAGCGGATTGTGTACATATAATAATATGCAGAGATAAATCCAAATATTCCCGATGATTTGTATTTACGTTATTTCATATATAATTTCCTATCGCAAAGTTTTTAAAAAGAACATAAAATTTTTGCTATTCACGTAATAGGACTACCTTTATAAGGAACTTAGTAGGTCCCATGGGATTGGTTATAACCGTGTTTTACTGTATGTGGTACATGTGTAGCTGTTTTATAGATGATATACAGAGGAGTACGGATCTAACTGAGTCACATTATCGTTGTATGTGACATCAGGGTCCAGGGTTCTAACATGCTGAACTTGTCTTGTTCAAGAAAATCTCTTGACTTGTACGGGTGGTCAAGTTTTATAATTTATCTAATTTCTTTTTTGTCTTTCAGGTCAATCAGAAGCCAAACGAAGGAGAATTGAAGATAATAAGCGTCAGCGGCAGCCTATTAGAGGTAAGCTGTGTGAACAGTGTCTGTTTGTCTTATTTTTTAGCTCACCTGCCCAAAGGGCTAGTGAGCTTATGCCATGCTGCTGCATCTGTTCGTCCATCTGTAGTCCATCAACTTTTCCTTTAAACAATTTATTTTAAGGAATGAACAGGCCTAGAGTCATGATATTTGGCTTAAAGTTTTGTTGGTAAGAGCCGGACAAAGTTTAAGAATGAAAATGACCTTGACTTACTTTCAAGGTAACAGGGGACAAATATGTCATACACTTGAAATGACTTCTTCTGAAGAACTGAAAGGTATAGAACCTTAATATTTGGCTGGTAGCTTATAAGGATAGAGCCCTACGAGGTTTGCAAATGAAAAATGACCTTGACATATTTCAATGTCAAGGGTTACATATGTCATAAACTTCAAACAACTTCTTCAACAAAGAACCAAAAGGCATAGAATCATTATCTTTGGCTTGAAGCTCCCACAGGTGGAGTCGACAAGGTTTGCCAATAAAAATAACTTTGACTTACTTTTAAGGTCACAAAGGTGAAATATGGGCGAGGGCGGGTGCTGATAGGGCGAGTGCTGATATGGACGAGATGTCTCGTTATCCCGAGGACGTGGTCGGTACAGGTGCAACCTTTACGTCGTCACAAATTCAGCAAAAACTGATAAGAGACTTTTTCAAACAAGCACCAAGCTGAGCGGATTGTGTACATATAGAAATATGTCGAGATAAATCCAAATAATCCCGATGATTTGTGTTAACGTTTTATATTTAATTTCCTTTCGCAAAGTTTTTGAAAAGAACATAAAAATTTAGCTTTTCACCTGATAGGAACTACCTTTTTAAGGAACTTAGTAGGTCCGATGGGATTGGTTATAACCGTGTTTTACTGTTTGTGGATTCATAAATAATTGAAGAGCTTCAGCAACGGCCTATTAGAGGTTAGCAGTGTGAACACTAATATGTACAGGTGATCCCTGTGTTTGTTTGTTAGTTTGTCATACAAAGTCGGGGTGTGTAGTACATACCTTGTGGGTCTGTGTATTCTTACGTGCGTCCAGCTAACTTTCCATTAGATATCTCGGTCAGTGTCGTACGTGAACATCATATTTATAGACCGTTTCATGTATTGACAGTCATGGTATGTACGTACATTATGAGAAGGTGTTGAACAAAATATTTTGAAATGAAAAAATAGGGTATATTGTCTTGTGAAAAAAACCTGTGGAGTGTTGAGTTTTTAGCCCACCATCATCTGATGGTGGGCTATTCAAATCGCCCTGCGTCCGTGGTCCGTCGTCCGTCCGTCGTCCGTCGTCTTTCCGTAAACAATTCTTGTTATCGGTATTTCTCAAGAAGTACCAAAGGGATCTTTCTCAAATTTTATATGCAGGTTCCCCTTGGTCCTTTGCTGTGCAGGGCAACTTTTGAGACTGATCAGATAAACAACATTGCCGACAGGCAGCCATCTTGGGTTTTGATAGTGAAAAGTTGTTATCGCTATTTCTCAAGAAGTACCAGAGGGATGTTTCTCCAATTTTATATTTAGGTTCCCCTTGGTCCTTTGCTGTGCAGGGCAACTTTTGAGACTGATCGGATAAACAACATGGCCGACAGGCAGCCATATTGGATTTTGATAGTGAAAGTTTGTTATCGCTATTTCTCAAAAAGCACTGGAGGGATCTTTCTCAAATTTTATATGTAGGTTCCCCTTGGTCCTGAGCTTGGCAGGGCAACTTTTGAGACTGATCGGATAAACAACATGGCCGATAGGCAGCCATCTTGGATTTTGATAGTGAAAGTTTGTTATCGCTAATTCTCAAGAAGTACCAGAGGGATCTTTCTCCAATTTTAAATGTAGGTTCCACTTGGTCCTAGCTGTGCAGGGCAATTTTAGAGACTGATCGGATAAACAATATGGCCGACAGGCAGCCATCTTAAATTTTGATAGTGAAAGTTTGTTATCGCTATTTCTCGGGAAGTATCAGAGGGATCTTTCTCCAATTTTATATGTAGGTTCCACTTGGTCCTGAGCTTGGCAGGGCAACTTTTGAGATTCATCGGATAAACAACATGGCCGACACGCAGCCTTCTTGGATTTTGATAGTGAAAGTTCGTTATCGCTATTTCTCAAGAAGTACTAGAGGGATCTTGTCCAATTTTATATGTAGGTTCCCCTTGGTCCTGAGCTTGGCAGGGCAACTTTTGAGACTGATCGGATAAAAAACATGGCCGACAGGCAGCCATATTGGATTTTGATAGTGAAAGTTTGTTATCGCTATTTCTCAAGAAGTACCAGAGGGATCTTTCTCCAATTTTAAATGTAGGTTCCACTTGGTCCTAGCTGTGCAGGGCAGTTTTTTGAGACTGATCGGATAAACAACATGGCCGACAAGCAGCCATCTTGGATTTTGATATTGAAAGTTTGTTATCGCTATTTCTCGGGAAGTATCAGAGGGATCTTTCTCCAATTTTATATTTAGGTTCCCCTTGGTCCTTTGCTGTGCAGGGCAACTTTTGAGACTGATCGGATAAACACAATGGCCGACAGGCAGCCATCTTAAATTTTGATAGTGAAAGTTTGTTATCGCTATTTCTCGGGAAGTATCAGAGGGATCTTTCTCCAATTTTAAATGTAGGTTCCACTTGGTCCTGAGCTTGGCAGGGCAACTTTTGAGACTGATCGGATAAACAACATGGCCGACAGGCAGCCATCTTTGATTTTGATATTGAAAGTTTGTTATCGCTATTTCTCGGGAAGTATGGGAGAGATCTTTCTCAAATTTTAAAGGTAGGTTCCCCTTGATCCCTCGTTGTGTATGTTATATTTTGAGACTGATCATAAAAACAAAATGGATTAAAAGAAGAACTAAACAGATCTTTCTCATATTGCAATGGTCGATTCTATTTCTTTCACATTAAGTACTGTACTAGTAAATATATGAAATGACAAACTCACTTTGAAGGTTGGCTTTCATACACATCAGTATTAAGTTTAGATCAAAAGTTACCTCAAGGGGCATTTACTGTTAACATGACTCGATCAAACAGATTAGAGGAAAGAAGAGAAAAGATCGAACTGACAAAGAACTAACGAAGATGGTACAAAGGTGGGCGCCAAGATCCCTCTGGGATCTCTTGTTCATGAAGCCAACTCTTCAATTTAAATCCTGTTTTTGGTATAAAGTTAACTGGTAATAAGTTGTATAACTTGGTGTAACTTTGTTGTGTCATTTTAAATATTAAATCTCTCTTTTTACAGACATCCATCCAACGATAGCAGCACTGATAGGTAAGTTTTACAGGAATCCTCCTTGGATTTTAACAGTTAAGACTTGTTATTGTTATTTCATAGAGGGATCATTCTCAAATTCAACATGTCGGTTTCCCCAGGCTTCAGGTTGTGTTTGTTTTTAAGAGTGATAAGAGAAATAAATTGACTGACTGGCAAGTATTGGATTTTTAGCTCACCTGCTCCAAAGGACCACGATGAGCTAATGCTGTAATACAAATTGTGTATAAATGGTGGGTCTGACACCACTGGGGGCTGAGGGGCAGGGCCCAATAGGGGAAATTTAGCAAATTCTTTAACATCCTTCTGTTTCTGTAGGAATGAAAGGATTTGTCCCATATTTGGTCTGAAGCATTCTTGAGTGAAGGGGAACCAATTTTGTATAAACGATGGGTCTGACACCCCCCCC